TCCGAGAAGCTCAAGATCAAGAAAGCGATCGAGAAGGGGAACACCGACGGCGCTCGGATCTACGCCGAGAACGCGATCCGCAAGCGCAGCGAGCAGATGAACTACCTCTTCGTTGGCGACTGGGAACTTTGCAGAAGATGAGCGAGACGATGGATCAGTGTCGAGAAGCAGTTTGTGAATATGGAGGTGCAGGGCGGAGTTCATAGGAGGGGTCGATGCGGGGTCACGAGCCTGTCAACGCCGGAGGGGGAGGTTAATAGCTTGATGCAGCAGGTGGCGGATGATTACGGGCTGGAGGTTTCGGTTGGGTTGCCGCAGGCGGCGGCCCATGCGATCCCCGCGAAGGAGAAGGAGAAGGTGGACGAGGATGATTTGTCGAGGAGGCTCGCTGAGCTCAAGTCCAGGGGATAGACGGTATGATTCTTTACTAGTTTGATTTCGTGGTTTGAAATTTCATGTATGCAACTTGTATTGCCAAAAAAAATGTATTAAACGGTTAAAGAATGTCATCTGTGATGAAATTTCATGCTTGTGGTACATACTAACATTTTGTGTCCAATGAGACTGAATGATATCTGTGATGACATGGATTAAATGATTTGATAGGATCTGGACGCATGAATTGGTGAAAATTATCTGTTAACTCTGCCTTCCAGTAAATAAGGCCCACATAGTTGCTCAGATATATGTCTTGTTTATAACCGAATTCAACATTTGTATGCTTTACCGGTGGTACCAATTTATGTGTTGGAAACACTGTGCTTCCTCGTGCCTACAAGTTTGTTAGGTATTCTGGGTAAATATGACTACTCTTTCAAGTCCTTTTAACTCTTAGTTTGTATCATGTCAATGTTCTAGGTGTAAAGTTTCAGCACAAGTTCACTTTTTTAAGGACTTAAGGTTCAAGCGTTATATTGCAATCTTTTCCTGGTTAATCACTAGTTGGTACTATGGCTGATACAAAATACAGCACTCTGTATTGTCACTCCCAGTATTTAACTTTTATGCATACGGAGAGGAAAAAAAAAGATAGGAAGGAAGGCAGAAAATTGGTTCGCGTTAAAATCTAAGAGGTATTTCATAGCTTTATGAAGAGTGAGGACTTTGCGCAAAGATCTCTCAAAATAAGTATTATTGAAATTTGCATAGTGGACTAACTTCTGGACAATTAACACTGTTCACATACTCTACATATCTAAAATAGTATAGGAATGACATATTGATGAGTTTGATTTTATCCATGCATCAATTGATATTTGTTGATTCTCTGGCTAAAACATTGTATGTTGGGAACTATTTTTTAGCATAAGGAAAATTTTGAAACCATGTATTCCAATTCATAGACCAATTTTGATGTGTTAAATGAATGGTGTTGAGCTCTCATGAGATGACCAATATAGAATTTTCAAAAAAGTACTTACCTGGATTTCTCTTTTGAGACTTCCTTGATATACAATCAAAATGGGTCACTATGGAGCAAAGGATCAACTACAATTTTGATAATTTTTTAACGGTAGCTCACAACCTGATGTAAACTACTTAGATTGCTCTCTGGTACAGTGGACATTGTCAGAATAATGGTTATGTGTAAATCTGACAAGTTGAGCAAGCAAGTTGGAGAGCACTCATTTAAGCTTGTGCAATTATGGAATTTTAAAAAATTTCTAAACTAATAAAGAGTTGGATAAAGGGACGATGATCGTTTCGCTACAGGTAGGTTCAGCTCTAAGGCACAAGTAAAGCCAAAATGCGAAATACAACCAGTTTCATTGGGTTGAACATGGTTTCCTTTCTTTCTTTTTTTTGGCAGGGGGGGGGGGGGGGGGGGGG